ATCCGGCGTATCTAAAAGATACGAATAACTTTGTGGAGAAGATCAAAAAACTTAAAGTTCCACCTAATGCGCTGTTAATATCTATCGATGTACAGAGTATGTACACAAATATTGACAACGAGACGGGCCTGAACGCACTGCGAAAGGCCTTTTCTAGAAATCCGGATAAATCACGGCCGGACCGTGACATATTAGAGTTACTGGAAATCTGCCTTACACGTAATGACTTCACTTTCAATGAAAAAACCTATCTTCAGACCACCGGTGTGTCGATGGGACAAATCTACAGTCCTAATTTTGCGAACATTTTTATGGCAGAATGGGAAAGAGAACTTCTCCCCCTCTGCCCGTTAAAACCAATTTTTTTATGTACGTTTCTTGGACGATATATTCATTGTTTGGACCTACTCGATAGAGGAATTTTGGCAGTACTTCGAAACACTAAACAACCATTACCCTTCTATAAAATTAACTGCGACCGTGAGCCAAAAAAGCATTGACTTTTTGGACACGACCGTGTTCAAAGGCGATGACTTCACGGACATTGGCAAGCTAGACATCAAAGTCTTCTTTAAGGAGACTGACACACACCAACTTTTGTTCAAATCATCCTTCCATCCCAAACACACTTTTTCTGGCATCATTAAGTCTCAAATTCTCCGATTTCTCCGTATTTGCACCCGCCAGACCGATTTTCAAGCCGCGTGTGCATTAGTGTTCGAGAAACTCCGGGAACGGGGTTACTCGAAAAGATTCCTTCGCACCATAAAAAATACCACTTTGAAAGAGAGTAGAGAAAATGATATAGTCCCGTTGAAACCTTTCCAACAATTCGGTGCCAGGCCCTGTATGTCTTCTAAATGTAGCATATGCAAATACCTACTTCGAACCAATTTTTTCGAAAACAAACATTCTTCCAAAAAGTACCCAATTAGAGAACTTCTCACTTGTGAATCATCCAACCTAGTTTACCTAATTTCCTGCAAGTCTTGTCCCTTACAGTACGTGGGGGAGTCTCGAAATTCGTTGAGAGATAGAGCCATAGGTCACCTTTCCGATATCCGTAGAAGACTAGACAAACCCGTTTCAAAACACTTCAATCAAGGTAATCATGCCATAAGTGACTTCATCATTACTCCCATTGAAAAAATACCACCGACGGAGGATTTAGACGAAACGAAAAAGCGCCGCTTAGGGAGAGAAGATTTTTGGATAAAAAAATTAAATACACTATCTCCCTACGGCGTTAACATCCTTTGTAATTCGGACATCTTACCTCTTGTGATTCAATACAATAGCACCGCGTTCTCAGCCAGTAAAATTATCAAAACATATTACTACGAGTTACAGGAAAGCCTCCCCAACATCTTCAAAAACAAACTGATAGTAGCTTACTCCAGGAACAAAAACCTCAGCGACATTGTCGCCCCGAGTAAGCTACCCCAGTTGATCCCTCTTCCCACCACTTGAGCTCCCTTCCTCTTTGAGCCATACACTTAGACTAACGACGAGACGAGGCCAAATCGGACGATTGTTAGCCAGACCATTTTATACCTTCCCGTACCCTAACCCCGGCTACCCCATTCTTACGTGCATAATATCCAAATCCCTGGTTGTCCGTACCCCACATCCTCCTCCGAGATTTCTCCAACACCCTCGGCCCATGCTTTTTTTGTGAGGTACCCTAACCCTAACCCCACCCCACCCCTAACCCAACCCTAACCTAACCCTAACCCTAACCCAACCCAAGTAGAAGAGCCTCAAACCCCAACAAACTTTTATAAAACATAGTTAAAAGAAATATAACATGACCTACAACTAACCCTGGAAATACCCTAAACAGGCGTGTTTGTCCGGTTACAGTTTTGAATCCTAGCCCGTGCTTTTGTGTTTAGTGGTCGCTTTTTGTGTGCCCTAAGCCCTCTCCTCTTACCCTAACCCTAATCCTAACCCTAACCCTACCTGTGGGGAATGCGAAAACCCTGTTATTTGGGTGGTACCATTTTATATATTAATATTGAAGGTGACATCAGTGCTTTAACTTTTAAAGATGCAGCTGGGAGTTTTTACACGATACTAATAAAAATTTAACCCGTTTATCAACTCTATTTCTTTTTATTATACATATTACAACTGATCCTTGTTTATAGCCTTCAATTTATTCCTCGATGTTTACGTTATTTTGAGACTAACAAACGTTACTTATTATCTGTTTAATGGGGTGAGAATAAAGAGTTTTTTAGTGCTTAATTGTTACAAGTGCAGTGCGAAGCGGTTGGTCTAGCTGGCCGGGCGCCTTTCCACTCTCTCGATTTTTCAAAATAACAAGTGAACTTCTCGGCTCAAATACATACACATACATTGCAAGCCATAGGCCTACATGTACTCCATACATTATGCAAAAACTATTTGTAGAAAGTATACTCCGCCAATTTTAAGGCAAATATATACGGGAATTCACATTCACGCGTTATAAAATACATTGCGATATGTACAACTTTGCATGAAGAGTGGCTTTATAACCACGCCTTCTTTTAATTTGACATTAAAAACCTGGAGTCAACATATAAAAAAAATATCAAAACCAAAAAAAACTGGTGACACTTTGCCGAAACTTATGAGACTAACATACGGTAGTTTTTATTCATATTGTTACCAGTCCATAACTTAGTGGATTATTTCGCAGGGGTCTGTAGCCTGTTGGACAACCGCTGTTTCAGTTCACCTGAGAAGCACGATTTTACGGAACAAACATAAACACTGACATTGTAAGTACATAAATTAAAAACCAAAATCTGTAGAAATGCCCCCTCAACCAAAATAGACTAATATTCTTAATGATTTTCTACAATTTACATTTATTATCTTATTTTTTTAAAAACATAATTCTTCAGTTTCTACCATCAGAAATTAAGTGTGGCTATTTGCTTCCTTATAAGAAACGGAGAAAGAATCATTCTTCGACAATGAACGAATAGGAATGTCTGGTGGGATTTTGCATGAAATTCATCAATCCGGGCGGGGCGGAAAGTAGTAATTATCCCCTAACCCTTTCCCAAGAGACCAAATAATAGGGTTACTGGGGAAGGGTCGGGTTATCTGCTTTATTTCTCGGAAGATCATATAACAAAACACTGTATGTAGTCATAAAATACCCTGGTATTATCAATTAAAATGGTCGATGACCAAAATAGACTAATCATCTTAAAACTCACACGACTAGTCAAAATGTCTAAGCGGTGCATGTAAAGCACTTAAGTCTTTTTTTGACAATTTTCTATATTTTTCAAGAACAAACACCTACTTGCGGTTCAAGTACAAGTTCCAAAATTTAATACAATCCTCCCTTAGCCAAACTTAGACCACACACCAAATTGCAGATCTCTATTACTCATAGTTTCTCCAAAACGTCTAGCTGGTGCATGAGCGATGGTGCATGGTCGCAAAAGTCCCTATACCTACTGCAAATGAAGGAAATCCCGACCCTTACCCTAACCCAACCCAAAATACGGCCATTTTTATTTATAGCGTAATAAGTCTTTGGGGTTGTTTTAGCGTTTGGATCTTATCAACCAGGACTTTAGAATTTTAATACGATTCGACAATAGACAAATGTATATCACAGGCGCAATTTCAGAGTCCTACTACTTATAGTTTCTGAAAAAAATTGCATTTTGTACCATATCGGGTGCGGTGCGAAGTAGTATTCAAGTCCTAACCCTAACCCAACCCCTAACCCTAACCCTATTAATTACACACTTATTAACCAAACATTATCCTGTCAAAACAACAAACAGTGATAATTTAGCTGATTGAATTTATAGATTATTATAACAGGGATGATCAACTAATAAACACTCTTAACTAATGTTTCTTTGAATAATATATATATATAACATTTAAATGAATTCTATTACAGCTACATATTAAGTGAGACGGCAAACACCGTAAATCCATTTCTAATGGTAACATCCTGCAAGCCGGCAAGAAAGTTAGTGAACATGAAACAAGAACAATATAATAAAAGCAGCACTACTCTAACAGGAAGAAGTAGTTTTCACCATTCAAATACAGGAAGTCTTAAATCTCCTGCAATTTTTGACTTATGAATGATTGTAAACCAGTAATACCATAAAATTGGGCCTCACCAAGCAATTCATGTAACAATTGATAGCTATATGGCAATGCCATTTTGGATGCAGGGGCTCCAACATCCCCTCTTAAAAATGTTAGAATGGTATCAAAATGGTTTGGCGAGCTATCTATAAAATAATAAGGAAGGCCACCTTTCTTTTCAGCCTTGATAGGGGCATCCTCCTTAAGCAAGTGAAAAAACAGAGTCTCCTGATGGGACCTCAAAGTGGCCATAGTGGTTTTAAATTCTGTTCCCCCCACATCTAAAATAACCATTCTGTGTTCATTATCTGCCATGTTCTTAAGTTGTTGTTTAATTTTCAGCACCAGACTGGATTCGGTCGAACTATTATTGTTATTAGAATTTGGAAACTCTGGTGGCCTCTCACTACCCCGCAATGTTGCTATGGATCCGGAAGACACGTCAGACAGGGCCGAGGATGAAGATGAAGATGAAACAGATCTCAAACGCTTACGATTAATGCGGATAGGAGACACAAAAAGTGGTTTGGCTAAGTTACTTGCAGTACTAGGGATTTCAGAATTTTGTGGAGGTACCACTTCAGGCACTGCTGTCACTCTGACCTCTCGTCTTTCGGATTCGGACCTGGCTTGACGCCTTACAGATTTAACCTCATTTTTCATGTTGGCCACAAAATCCTTATATTCGGCCTTCTCTATCTCACCATATCTCATGTTGGCCCTTTTTACCCTCTCCATGGTGGCACGTGGACATCCAGGGTGTTTAATGTCCGGTCGGTTTGTAACATTCTTGCATTGACTACATTTGTATCCAAAACCAGAATGGCTACTGATGATGTGCCTCTCGCAATGGGCGATCCGCAGATATTCTCGGTTATCATTTAAAAAGTGATTGCTACAAAGGTTTGTTGGGTTATTTTTTTTTTTTTTTTTTTATTTAATTTGCTTATTATTTAGTGCTTATTTCCCAATTGAGTAGAATTGCCCACATATGGTTTTAACAAATTGTGATGGATAACTTTGGGTATAGAAGCCACAGACTTTCGAATTTTATAAAGTACATCATTGATTGGTTTTAACACGACACAAGGACCCTCCCATGCAGGGCTTAATTTATTTCCTGCATCCTTACACCGGGCATTATAAATCCACACACGGTCTCCCGCCTTATATTGATTAACCAGAATATTTCTGTCATGGTTGCGTTTCATATTATCCGCTGATATCCTTAACCTTTTACGTGCGAATTCATGAATTGTTTTTAATCTTTCCGCCAACTGATATGCATATTCTGATTTGTTTTGATTTACTTCAGGTAGAACTCTACCAAGAACAAGATCAACAGGTAGGTTTATTTTACGTCCTAAGACCATATGATTGGGACTAATGCCAGTAGACTCGTGTTCCGCTGAACGATAGGCAGTTAATAATAATGAAACAAGATATCATGTTTTCAATTGTACGGTTTGCCCTCTCAATCATCCCATCTGATTGGGGTCTGTAGGCGGTAGTACGCGTTTTCGTAATACCCAATATTGTGCACATTTCCTTAAACACTTGTGACTCAAAATTTGATCCCTGATCGGAGTGGAGCTCCATAGGCACTCCGAAAATGCTAACCACCCGGTCTATAAATTTATTGGCTACAGTATGCGCTTTTTGGTCCTTCATTGGTACCGCATCGACCCACTTAGTGAAATAATCAGCCATTACTAAAATAAACTTGTTTCCGTTTTCAGTCACAGGTAATGGTCCAATGACGTCTAGTGCCCACCGTTCCATTGGAACACCAACATTATATTTTTTTAATGGGGCTTTAGCAGTTTTAGTCTTGGATTTTCGAGCAAAACAATAATCACATGCTTTAACCCAGTGCTTGATGTCATTTCCCATATTATTTCACATAAATCTCTCCTTTATTTTGGACAGAGTTTTCTTTCTGCCTAAATGTGCCCCACCAACCCCATTGTGAAGGTGTTCAAGGACTACCTTCCTAAGGCTAACTGGCAAAATTATCTGAAAATGGGGTTGTCTCTCCTTATCTGGTTCCCACTCATAACAAAGGATATTATTCTTAAATACCAAAGAATCAAAGCGCATCCAGTAATATTTTAAGCTTTCACTCTCTAGTGAAATATCAACCCAAGTCGGTCTTTTATTTCCCTTAACCCACAAACTGACTTTTTGTATAATTGGGTCTTTTTCTTGAAAATTGATAACATTCTGACCCTCTAATAATTGTGACATATCTAACTGTACATTTTTACTTTCAGGGGGAACATTGAGTGGATTTTTATTTAAGGTACATGGGTTTTCCATGTCATTGGACAAGGCATTCACAGTCACGTCACACAGTGAAATTTGATTATCAGGATTGGCCTCACAGGTATAATTTTGCTGAGCCCGAGTACAGTGCCCACACTGTTCGATACATGGCCTCCGCGAAAGCCAATCTGCATTATTATGGGCACGCCCTGCACGATATTCTGTTTTGAAATGATATGATGATAAGAACTCGAACCATCTAGCCAATTGACCTTCAGGATTTTTAAAATTGATAAGCCAGGTCAGGGGCCCCGTGATCTGTGCGAACTCTGAAAAACTTCCCATACAAATAATGATGAAATTGTTTTATTGATAGCACAATAGCCAATAGCTCTCTTCTAGTCACACAATATTTGCGTTCAGTTCTACTGAATGCCTAACTATAATATGAAATAACTTTTTCAGTGCCACATTGAATCTGAGATAAAACAGCCCCAGCTCCAAAATTGGAAGCGTCGGAATCGATAATGAACAAGCCCTCTGGCTGGGGAAATGACAGAATCGGTGGACTGGTAAGTGCACCTTTTAGATTATCAAACGCTTTCTGACTATCTTCCCCCCAAACGAATTTCTGGGTTTTCTCGGTTAGTTTATGCAATGGTTTTGCTATGTCCGCAAATTTTGATACAAATTTTCTATAATAAGAACATAGCCCCAAAAATGATCTAACTTCTTTCACTGAAGTAGGAATCGGCCAGTTTTGAACTGCATGAGTTTTCTCAGGATCGGTGGCTATGCCATGTTCACTGACCACATGACCCAGAAAAGACACTTCTTTCTTCAACATTGCACACTTATTGGGGTTCATTTTTAAATTGGCTTCTCTTAATCTTTGAAATACTAGGTTCAAGTTTTCCATATTTCCCTCAAATGTTTTCGCGAATACAATAATGTCATCGAGATAGACCATGCAAATTTTCCATGTTAGTTTAGATAAAACTTTATCCATGAGACGAACAAAAGTGCTCGCGGCATTACATAATCCCATCGCCATGCGATTGAAATGATATAAACCACCGCCTTGAATTGCGAAGGCCATTTTCGGTCGATCTTTCTCAGCTATTTTTAACTGCCAATACCCTGAACGCAAATCAATGGTGGAAAAAATTGAATTTCCAGATAGAGCGTCTAGTGTTGTATCTATTCTAGGTATTGGATGGCTACACTTCAATGTCACCTCATTCAATCGACGGAAATCCAAACAAAAACGCAGACTGTTGTCTTTCTTTTTGACTAGCACTACACAACTACTCCATGGACTACATGAGGGCTCAATTATTCCCTTATTAATCATATCCTCAAGCTCTTTTTCAACCTCCTCAACCTTAGCTATGGGAATCCTACGGGGATGCTGTTTAATTGGAGGATTAAGTCCTGTATCAATTTCATGTTCCACTAAATCAGTCAAGCCTAGATCACCCGACGACTTTGAGAACACATCTTTATATTTTATTAATAAATTTTTTAGGGCTAGCTTTTGGCTCTCCTCAAGATCGACGGACGACTTATGGTACAATTCCACCAGGTGCTCAGGTATGTCATTATTTTCGGATGAACTTGATTTATTTGTTAATATTTCATTTACATCACAATCGGGGGGAGAATCCATACACATATCAATGACCTCCATGGTCGCTACAATTGAATTTTTATAAATCTTATGTTCAGCCTCATTTATATTAAGTAAACGAATTGGGACTGTCCCACACTTTGGATTTACTATGCTTTTGGCCAATAAAATATCATGCTTTTGCATAAAATTCTCGGTGGGTTCAATGATTGTGGTCCTCTCATGAGGTATAGGATCTATCACCCTACCCATAATCATAATTTCACTATATCTTCTGTCACAGAGACCCTGCAACAACTGTGATTATCTCCCTTTTGATATCTATAACATGGAACTTCATCCCCCTTTATTGATAAACAGTTTTTCATAATTAAAATATCTATGTTATGCTTCGTTAAGAAATCGATCCCAATAATACCAAAATTGGTAATTTTTGCAATTAGAAATTCATGTTTAAAACTATGTGCACCAATAATCACATTTGCAGTACATTTCCCTAGGAATGGTTCTCTTTCCCCAGTAGCAGTGATAAGGTTCAGTTTTACTGGTTCGATATGTACTTCACACATAGTTTTTAGCTTCTGTATGGATTTCTCACAAAGTATGCTAATATTCGCCCCCGTATCCACTAACATTGGGGCATCTAAGTTTTCCACCTTAGCATGCACAAACAAGCCATTATGGTCATTTGAAATGCTACTAATTACTATATCATTTGATTTATTATTAAGTGAGTCATCTATGCGATTCGTCGAACTTTGACTCGCAAGTCCAACGACATTTAGTTTCCCGACCTCCCTGAATTATTGCGTAGGTCTTGGGATTTTTGAGGTGACTTAGGTTTTTCCCAGTTTCTCTTTTGATCTTGGGGGCGGTGGGGTTCACTGGAGTTACCTCCCCTTATTTCCCAATTATTTTCTCTCCTTTGATCCCTTGGCACATAACTATTGCCTCTGGGACTGTCATTGCCTGCCTGATATGGCTTTTTATAATTGTTATTGTTACTACTGCCCCCGTTCCACACATTCCTTTGCTTCGGCGGTTGGTTAAATGCTTTATTGTTACTTAACGTTTGAACCAGCTGTCTAGTCGTGTTGTCCAACGTATTGATTGATCTATTTAGCGTTCTGATATCTAACTCGTTGTATTTTTCAGGCACTGATTGGCTTTGAGAGTGACATACAGAAACAGGCTCCTGACTGATTTGATGCACAGAACGTCCACGTTGCCTATCAGCGAGTCTGTGCGCTTCTAACCGAATGGCATGTGTTTCAGCCTCATTAATATCTTTAGGCCGAAGTTCACGTATTCTCAACCTCATGTCCGAGTCTTGGATGGAATCAACAAAATGATCTAGGGCCAAGATGTTAGTGAGCGATGAATCGGCTGTCGGATAAGCCTGCCGGTTTAATTTACGAATGGCCTGGGCTAATTCAGGCAGAGTTTCAGCCTTTCCTCTACAACGAGTTTGGAGTAGGACTCGATACATTTCTGAACGTTCAAGTGAGCCAAATCTAATACTGAGAGTCCTAATGAGAATATTGAAGTCTTTTCTCTCAAGTGGGCTGAGTTCAGTTAAAATAGCTCTGGCATTACCAGTTAAGCTGCTGGCTAAATACAAGGATTTGTCATTATAACTCCACCTATTTATGTTGGAAACAATTTCAAACTGGGAAAGGTACTCCTCAAAATCTTCTAAACCGTCATATTGATGGGGTCTCATTTTAACAGAGTGATTATTTTCATGAGCTCTACTATTAAAACGCGGATAACTCACAGGGTTATCATTTTGGTTTGATTGTGTAATGGGAGAACTACTTTGAAAATCACCTTCAGGAAATACATCCCTAACCATGCCACTTTTCATGAGACAATGCATCGACATCCTTCTTAATAACATTTATTTATTGTTTCATTTCGATCAACCCTTTATGGCTCTCACTTCTTAGATATTCCAATTGTTGGCTGATTTGATCTAAGATCGAGCTGTTATTTATCAAAATACTGGGATGGTCGCTTTCCACAGACTGAAGTGATTCATTGGAATTTTGTATTGTTTGCTACAGCACTTTTTTTATTATTTATGATAAATTCTGTATCATCAAAAGTCGCCAATATGAAGGAATTATATCACAATAAAACGAAATGTTCTTTTTTTCAGGTGCGTTTGATTATTTTTTTATTTATGATTTAACTATTGACTTATTCTCTTGGCACACTAGAGCTGGAGTTTACAATAATAATAAGGGAATTTTGTGGTTGTATCCCACTTATGACACCAATGTTACGATTCCTCGATTCCCTTAGCGAAGAACGTAAATGGGGTTCGCTCCAGTCTAGTGCTATACCAAAAGAATAAGACAAACAACAAGTTAAAAATTAATAAATTTTATTAGGAGGAAACAATTAATTAATTGTAGGCCTATATATTATAGGTTCTACGGCAATAAATAAACAAATCGGCAATACCTAAACAAATCATCAAATTGCATAAATTATAAAATATTGGTAGGCAATTATAGTAGTGAACGCCAGATACTTTCTGTATTAAAATAATTAAAAATATGAAACTGATCATTGACGTTACCGCCCTTTGCCCTAATTGTGGGATTGCATGTTTTTCCGTCCCAAAAGCCAAAAGTGACAAAATAGGGATTTTTTCCCAAAAAGTGGGGATTTACCCACTAACCCACTAATTGATAAAAATGGGGATTTTTCCCCCAAAATGGCAAAAGTGAGTATTTACCCACTAACCCAATAATTGATGAAATGAGGATTTTTCCCCAGGAATGATGAGAGTTAGGATTTTACCCAACTATTGATAAAAGCGGGGATTTACCCACTAATTGATGAAATTAATGGGGATTTGTCCCCAAAAATGATGAGTTAGGATTTTACCCAACTAGTGATAAAAGCGGGGATGACTAATTGATGAAATTAATGGGGATTTTTCCCCAAAAATGATGAGTTGTGAGGTTATCTCACTAATGATTAGGAGCTGAAATAGAACCTGTAAAATATACAAAAGGCAAGTAGATCTATATGTTGTTATTTAACGTTGTTGAATTCGGCTCTGGGAGGCCTCGAATTCCGGTCAAAATAAGGCCTACAAAAAGAGACAATCAATATTGACAAATTGACGGGGGAAACTGAGCCTAAGGCCTAGGCCTAACTTGCAAAAAAAAAGTTCTGTAGTCCAGCTTAAATAATCGCCAGTCAGTGTTCTACCGTTTACCACGGGAATTAATAGGCTGCTATTCACCTACCAATAATGTATCCATGACTTTCTTTAAGGCAAAATGGGCCTAAAAAGTAGTAACCTTAGATTCGACTGCGCCCAGTGACTGCCGGAGACCGAAGTGTCAAACCTAACCCTGTCGTCTGCTCTAATTAAACGCTCCGCCAATCAGAAGGATTGGAACGTCGGCTCGCGCTCACCAACCAATGAAATGACTTCGAAGGTCAATCACGGTGCCTGGAACAGACGCTCGTGTAAAACGCCAGTCAAATGCCGGAGTTGGTGAATGAAGCTTGTCAGAATCCGAGACGATGAATATTTGAAAAATACGGGTGCAATCTGCATTGGTATGCTATCTTGCGTAAGTATTCCTATCGCCCTTGAGATGGGGCATATTAATACGAATTATTGAAACATGACAAGCTGAATTTCGACCAGGGTAGAACTAGTTCTCACGCGTTGACTTTGTGAAATCAAACGCACGCGGTCTGCCTCCATTTGACACTTCCAAACGGCTGACAATAAATGAGTAGATACACTTTAAATAATATAGCAGGTTAATGTCATCTCTAATTCTATGACCTTTTGTAGACTTTGGCCGCGATATATATATAATAATGATACTACTAATAATATAACAATAATTATAGTTTTATTCTCGTGCAACTCGAGCAGGGAAGTTATCACAAACATGTC